CACACACACACCACACCACACCACACCACACCACACCACACCACACCACACCACACCACACCACATATTGGCATGCACTCATACCCATGATATACTCTCTCACACATCTTGCCTTCCGCGTACATCTATAGGTCTACACAATATTATGCTTGCACTCACAAACAAACCCACAGTCACACGTTTAAATAAACAATTATTGTAAAACAATCATAATGTTTAATAAGCTAGGTACGTAATCAATATTGTGATAGTAATCCGATGGTATTCTGATGGCACATGCTTTAAAGGTCATAGAAATACTTATATTACAAGAGGATTACAATGGTGAGAGTTCAATGGACGATGGCAAAAAAATGACCATCTTTATTTTTCTTTTTTTTACAGGGCAAAAACTTAGGTTTTATACTTTTTAGCTATATTTTAATTTGAGAAAACAATAAGGGATGTTGATTGTCTAAAAAGGTGGAATTAATTTTCCTGGTGCAATAAGCAACGTTAAGTGATACATCAAAACAAGGGAATGTGGGTGTTGACATTTTGCATACTTCCCGTTGTAATTGATTCAGTTTTATTAATTTTGTCTTTCAATGCTGTTCTTCCAAAAGTTTTTGGCGGCCTTCTAATAAGCAATTCTGTCTGGGACTGACTTAAGAGTTTTTGCGTGTCCATAGCCAGGTTGATACTACTAGTACTTTATACTTCAAAACAAGGATCCTGGTTTTCACTCTGGTTACATGGTGGGTGGCTATGGTTATCCACCCACTTGGTTCAATCATGTTGAAGATTTGCAAAACATTGTTGATTTTGTCGTTTGGATAACCTTACTTTGTTAATTGTAGCGTTAAATCCGCACAAAAGCAATATTGCGTAGATCGCTTTCTGCAACTGATGAACGTATGGATGCGAAAATGTTGAGGGGAAAGGTGGGGGGAGGAGGGGTGCTTTAAAAAAACAAAACAAAAAACTTTTCAGAACACAATAATTCAAATCAATATAACTTGGAGACTGGTGAACCTTATAACATGTTTATTATTTTGATAAAATGTAGTATTATTAATTTAATTTTTTTGGCAGAGACACAAAAGATGAAACAGCTTTGCGATGCATTTTAATTTTATGTTTGTGCATGTACTTTGGTTTTGCTCTCCTCTAAATCGAAGTCTTGATTCCTAACAGAAAGTCTTCTGCCAATTAAAACAGGTTATAATTAGTTCTTGGTAGCTTCGTCTTTGTAAGATTATTTTTTCAACATGTATGTGTTATTATGAATATCCCTTGTAAAATTTTCTATATAAGGAAAGGGGCAGAAAGGCAGGGAG